CCACGCCGTCCTCCTCGCCCGCCACCACACCCTCTTAAAACCTTCCAAAATCCTGGTCTGCTCGCGAACGTAAAGACCAATTACTCGACGTCTCCAGCCTACCATGTACGTCCATCTGTCGGTCCTCCCTCAACGTCATCCAGAGCCGCACTCTACTGCTCTCGGACCTGGTCTTGGACGCCACTAAAGACCCAAGTCGAACCCCTGGCATTAGGAGGACCTACAACATTTCGCACATAGACGTCGTCGCCCAACATCGTCGCATACAAACGTCACTTCCTGTCGTCAACAATAGATCCCAGTGTGGGTCTAAGGAACGCAGACTCAAGCCCCTTTTGTTGTCTCCACGGCTACAACTAACAATCCACAGTCTCACCCTGTAGAAAAGGGCTTCCTTTTCGTCAAGTCAGAACAGTTCAAACTCGAACTCCACCACTCGTCTGTAGGTGACTCTCTACAGACGATCCGTTTCGCTCTACGCACGCTGCTGGACCGCGGTGGGACCCAGAGACTCGCCCATTTCCTGTCTTAATCAACCCACAACAGTCGCATCGGTGGTCACCGACTTTTTGTGTACGCCGATTTACGTGGCGGTTTGCCGTTGTAGAACACGTGTACCTTCTCCGTCCCCTGGTTTATGTCTGGACTCCCCTGGGGACATGCTGGTTTAACTGTTCTAGCCGAGTCTAGGAGAGGTTCAGTGGGACTCCACGCCAGAACTCGCATACTCTGCCCTCCTTTTCACGCTCGGACTTTGAGGTTCAAGAACCTCTCACGGTTCCTCCTAACTACCAAGTGGAAGCTTACCGGTCGTCTGTGACAGGTCTCCTACTACTGTCTCCTACTCCCTTCCGACGAAATCGCCGCGTCAACGAGTCTCTGCGTTCCTCTCGTCATAAACAACTCACATGACGGACTTGCCTACCACGTGCCTAGGTCTTCTAACTAGACTACTCTATTGTCCGCGTCAACAAATTTTTCTTGTCTCACAAGTTTGACAGAACTGTCGCTGCTTGCCCTCGTGGTCGCTGGATCTTGGACATCAAATTGATATTGTCTGCCCAAGTCCACTCAAGAGAGATTCCCAAATGAGAACGGAAACTCGACAACCAAATTCTATACTGTCTCCATTATCCTTCACACTACTTACTCACCTTTGCCATCTTACAGTCCTCGGACTTGAGTTCAAAGGAGGCCTCTCACACTGTCCTGCCTGTTAGAGGACTACAAGTCTGTGGCGAGCTGACGCATCCTGCCCAGGTCTCAGTTGCTCCTTCATGTGGTTGTGGGTGAGGTGAGCTGTTTTCTACTACTGTCTCCTCTTCCTCCATCTGACACACTCACACTTCCGGCCAGACTACGTTGGTCGCCACTCATTTCTACTCAGTCTGGTCTTCAGCTGATAGTAGTTGGAAAAATAGTTCACCAATGGATTCAGCGAACTGTCTTCCCGCCATCCCCGAACCGCCTAGGTTCTCCTACCTCCATACGGAGAAATTACTAGTGTGTCGCGTGGGTCACTGTACACAAGACTACAACAAATTTCTAGGTCGCTGGTCGCAGATCAAGATCCTCGTCACCGTCGATAATCATGTCGGGGGCCCCTCGTGACTTCTCTTCCGGGAAACAGACTACGGAACGTGTTCCTGGCCGTCTGTCTCCACTGTGTACCTTGAGAGGTTCAGCGTCAGTCGTAAGGTAGAAATCCACTCCAGCTACCAATCGAGTTGGCTCGCTGGGACTTCTTGGACAGCCAGGTCTGGAGACTGACTCGGCTCTTACAGCGTGATGGTACTCACACTTTAAAATACGATATATCCTACTTAAATTTCGACAATCATAAGTGATTGCGGTTGGCTATATGCATAGGGAACAAGTACAGAATACTTATTATTTTGTGGGTTTATTCTGTATAGTCCCTTCGCTATGTGCATGACTTCCTCCTAAACTCTCTCCTCTGATCGTCGTTGCTCATGTGTCTCGGTCTTTGTCTGACCGATCTCTGCTTTTCCGTCTTCCTGATTGTGGGTGCTCTCTAGTTCCTTGGTAGTGTAACCTTCGTGCTCCTTCTCCTTCTTTTCCTTTCCAGTGTCATCATCATTTTTTTTTTTTTGTTGTGGTCGGTGGGGTGGGTGTGCGGGGGGGGTTTGGTTTTCCAGTAACTGCTAGAATCCACTTCAAGACACTGGTACTTGCGTACCATGCTGCGAATGGATCTGGCCCTTCCTACATCCAGGACATGGTTAAACCGTACACCCCAGCACGTGCACTCCGCTCTGCATCGGCCAAACAGATCGCTGCACCCGCACTGCGAGGGGGACCCAAGTTCCCATCAGCAAAAACTCGTGGGTTTGCTGTCCTGGCTCCAAAATGGTGGAATGAGCTCCCCATTGAAATCAGGACAGCAGATAGCTTGCACATCTTCCGGCACAGACTGAAAACTCATCTCTTTCGACTCCACTTCGAGCGATAGAATTACTAACAAAGCACTTATATACTAATAAAGGGCTGGCTTATCTAAAGCCAGTTGAGTAGCACTTGAAATGTTTGGCTCTATGAAACCTGATGTACTTATATGATTCTGTTTTCTTCAAGTTTGTATCTTCCTGGTCGAATGCACTTATTGTAAGTCACTTTGGATAAAAGCGTCAGCTAAATGCAATGTAATGTAATGGCTTCATCCCTCCCAAATCTAATTCTTAAAAAAAAAAAAGGACAGTTGCTTTTGGAAAAGTAGTGTGGCACTAAAAGGAAGCCAAAGTACTGTAAAATATAATCTATTGTTTGGAGAGAAGTGTCTAACTAGAATGTGACATTGAAAAACCCTTCATCCACAGTCTAAACATGAGATTAAAAAGCTGACTAGATAGTTTCCTTACGGGCGCAGAAGGTGGGCCCGAATCGGCTGCATGCTGAGGGAAAGAAGCAAAAACAGAACCAGTCAGGCAAGTGCTTTGATCAGCATGTGTGCGGCATTAGTGTCATGACCTTTGCTTGATAAACATTTAAAGTACTTTGACAGTAAAACATTATTATAAGTGTGTATTCACGTACCTGTCAGGGTGAAAACTAAGAGCGCACAGAAGCTGTAAGTGAAGGTCATTGTGGTAAAGCTTCTCCTCTAAAATATATAAAAGCTAAAAGACTTAAAAGGTTTTTTTTTAAACATCAAAGAAGAGCCATTTTGGGAGGTTTGTTCAGTTAGACTTCACCTGTGAAGGGAAAGGAAAGACAATGATTGAGAGGTGTGCTAGATTTGGTTGTCAGCCATAAAACAGTTAACCCTTTAGAGCTCATAATGTAATCTCTCTTTTCCTCATAGCAACAAACAATCCAACATTTAATTGAATAGCTATGAAAAGGGCTGAAATACTCATGATAATACATTTAGGATGTGATTCAGTTTTACCAAGACAAATACTTATCAAACATGATTAATTGCATTTACACTAAATTATTTGGGTTCTGAACCCATTTTTAGACAAAACAAGCAATTGAAAAGAACATTTAAACTGTGGAAACATGTCAAAATGATTGTCGACATTTAAAGATAACAGATTACAAAACACATTAAATAACTTTCATTAATAAAACATCAGTGAGAGAATTATACAATTTTAAATGAACCACTTCAGTGTTTCCTAGTTAAACACATACACACACACTGCTAATTCATTTTATTAACTTCCCCTTTTGTGGGACTTCCTCGTTTGGCATATTTATCAGATTAATAAGCGTAAAGTGGATTTTCGAAACAGAGGTATACACTCCAGGGCACACAAATCATCATGATCATACAGTATTGTGTAAAATCAACCCATTACTATTACATATCCGTGCAGGAAAACAATACATGGATATGGTTAATGGGGCCTCTGAAAGTTATTTTTATCCTGAACACTGTTTTTACTTTCTCTCTCTCTCTCACACACACACACACACACTTCCTTCACATAATCCTCCCAACAATAACGCCTAGCATTTCCGAGACGAAATCCTCGCAACACAAATAGTTTCCAAGTAACGTTATTTCCATGATTCAGAGTAAAGTGAAACTATTAGGGACACGTGATGGGCTTGATTATTAACTACGTCAGTTCCCTGACTGGTTAAGATAATGTCCTAAAATACGATTAAGACATAGTTTAGCTTTCAAGGAGAAGGAGGCGTCCTCAGTCACAAGAGATTTAAAAGCTAGCTTCCTGCCGAGCTAACTGCTAAAGCTAAAATCCTCACTTTCTGTCTTCGTTTAAAGGCCTTTTCTAGGCGTCGACACCACAAGAAAATGTTTCCTAGTCCGACACAAAGAGTTTAAACACCCAAGGAATTCACAACATGTAGGTCAGAAGCAGCAAAAACCCGATAAAATGCTAAAAGAAAAGAAGAAGAAGAGGAACCGTGTACGTTACCATGTCAGTCGGCCTTCTTGTTGACAAGTTCTGAGCTACTTCCGTATGTTTTAGCTCGTGACGGGATGGGCGTGGCCTAACTGTTTTTATTTACATTCATAACAAATTACGTTTTTCTTCACATCAATGGTTTTACACTGAACGTAAGCGTAATTTCAAATACTGTACAGTTATATTTTGTAACATTCATACAGGGTGGATAATGTCTAAAAGGAGATTAAATGTGACTTTCTCAACACAAGGTGTCAGTGCCGGTTTGTACAAATATACAACATCAGAATTAAGTCACAAAAGATGTGTTAGGGACCTCCACATTTAAGATTGAACACTTTTTTCCATATCAGCATGATTGATTGGAAGTTGTCTTATTGAGCACCCTCAACCAATACAGAGAAAGTCTTAAAACGTTTAATTTAATTATACATAGGCCTATGCTAACGTGTACTGTAAGAAAATAAACATGCATGCTTTAAGACATATATGTATGTATTTCTGTATGTATACTGTATGCAAGTATGAGTGTTTGTCTTGGTCTGATGTGGTTTTCCACCAAAACAATGTTCAAATACCTCATTTTAAATTCCAAAGATTGCATACTCCTCCTTCTTTTAATGAAAAATCCAGACATAATTGTACAAATATTTTCCATTCTCAGTGTATGTGCACTGGAGGTTTGAAGTTTCCACATCACACTTGTTTAAATTGCATATTTGACCACGTCTGGCTTCCAGATTCGTTGTCAAGTTACAAAATCTTCTTGTAATTACACGTCTTGCACTCAGATTTAAGATGAGCACAGAGAAACTTTCCTCCTTCAACAGAATAATGTGAAAACCAAGTTGTGGTGTGAAACTCTGCACAAACATCTGTCTGCATTGTGAAGCTCAGTTCAAGTTGTAACAATAAGCAATGTTTTTAATAAAGGGGAAGTCAAAGCAACAATACTGCAATTCAAAAACACAGAAAAAGTCATGCATTGACATTTAAAAGTACAGTTTGGTGGTCTTTAGTGTTGTGTTGTCATATGGTTTGTATACTGAAGCATGCAAGGTTAGCCTTTATATTGTGGCTTTATCAAGCTTCATACTTTAATAAAATTGTGATATTGTTTATGAAACGTACCATCCATAAAGTCAATACATGGCACAGACATTTAAGTCAATTATCTAAAATAATACGTTTTTACTTTATTAAAATGTTAAAGTGAAACATTCTGAATGCTGGACTTTTCAAATGGTGATATTAATAAAATAACCCAGTATATTTCAGTTTCATTAATCGCGACATTGATAAACCTGGTCAGCCATGAAAAAAAAATGACGTCTGCACATCTGGAGGAGGACCCAGAGGAAAATCCATCTCTCTCTCTCTCTCTTACTCTCTCGGACCACGTCCACAGGAGGCAGACAATCCTACCAGAGGACAGGCAGCCCAAATATGAAGATTGAGTGACCTCCAGCTGAGCATTTGTCCCAGCCACCTGATGATTTTAGAATATTTTTCTGTGTTCTCTCCTGCGCTCTGGCTGTAACGGACTCGCCTTTGCGCACACAAGCAGCCCGGTGCGCACAAAGTGTCCATGCGGAGACGATAAAAAAAACTTTTCTGCCCCGTTTTTAAAGCAGAAAGGAATAGGATCGACCTTTTTTGCTGTCAGGACGGCTGGACTTGTGTAGAAAGTACATTTTCAGACGTTTTTGTCCCGGGGCAGTTTGCAGACAGAAGAATGCTGCCCCAGCTCCTCGCCGTGGCCTGTGGTCTCAGCTGCTTTGGTTTCACCTCCGTCACTGCAAACCTACTAAAAGCAGAGGTAAGTCTTATGGAACATCATAAATCGTTCACTTTTAACAATGCAAATTGTTTTATACATCAAGTTGAGCAAATGTAAAACGTGTCATTAAATATATGATGTGTAAACAACTTGAATGTTCCATCATCCTAGCTTTTAAATGTTGTTTCTTGGTTTTTCAATTAAAGTTCTTAATATTCCTGGATGAAATATGTGTATAGCAGCATAACAGGTTATTCTTATTGTATGTGTTTAACCTCTTATTGTTTGGCTACAGGGATTTATAGTTTCACTGATATCTGTACTTTGTTCTAATGTTTAGATTTATCTAATTTTGCAACAGCATGGGAGGAACTGTTTATAGTCCCATGTTTATTCTTCCTCCTTCAATCTCTCTTGTTTATCTTTCCTCACTAAGAGCTGCCTAAAAGACTCCATCTGTAATAAGAGATGAAACTTCACCAAGAGGAAAAAATGTCCTGAGTCTAAACTCTTGTGGCTTGTGAAGGAGGAGGAGGGGGCAGTGCTCATTTTGGAAACCTCAGCTGAGCTGCTTTGTTCTGAGAAAAAAAAAAGGGGTAGTGGTGGTATACGGGGGAGGGGGGCTTCATCTGTCTGTGTAGACGGCACAGGACTGCATTCACAACAAGCCGGACACGAGTCTGACTGCAGGCCTCAGGCAGTTTAACCTTCAACTCAATATTGTGTCTCCAGGTCGCGTGCAGCTCAGTAAATGATTGGGTACGAGCGGCCATGGCGCATTGGCCCCTTTCACACTAACTCTGATGGTAGTACCAGAGGTCAAACCGGGTGTTTGATGTGAGCTTTCAGTCACATTGAGTCAGGAACTGCACAGGATGCACTAATAGGCAGCTGTCACAGGAAATTCACAGAGCAAAAAGTCCATTAGTTTATTTGCAAGAGCTGCAGTTCTGTGTGGACAGGATGCACGAAGGAGGACCTTAGTCACTTACCACAAGCTGCTGTGAGTCAAGCCAGACATGGTGGATAACTCACAGTCAGACAGTTTATAAGACGCCACAGGCGGCTAGCCTCTGACACCGTGATGAATGCCTGTAAACAAAAAACACGACTGTTTACAGCACTTTATAACACCTCTAATTCAACAACCCACAGTGCAGGATTCAATGTGAGGCACATCTGATGAAGACTGAATGTTCAGGCCATTTGCTATCAAGCTGTCAGACAGTACTGATGCAGAAAGGGGATAAGAATTAATGATGGGTTCAGGATGACATCACTTGAGAGACACACGTGAACCCTGTGATCAGAAGATAGACGTGTCTGTGTGCGGAGAGAGCAGAGGGGGGAGAAAGATGTGACAAAACAACAACTGCGTGACATAATTGTTTAATTAAAGTCGATGAAGTCGGTTGAGAAAGAAGAAGTCAGATCGAGGAACTGAGTTTCACAGGAATGCTGTGGTCAATCAGGGTTGCTTAACATCTTAACACCCCTCTCTAACTTCACTCTGACAAATCAAAGCCATGTAATCCATGCTGAGTGAGATGAGAAGCTCCACAAATAGAGAAATGAGACTTCCACTATTCTCTGAAATGTACTCTAGGTGAAGTGGAGTGCCTTTTTGCGGCCTCTAGCATCTGTTTTCATTCACCTCTTTTGCCTTGTCTAACCTTTCTTTACTTAAACAAAAAGCTCAGTGGGACCTTGTGAGGAAAGGAAGTGGGCAGCAATGAAAACAACAGGGTCCAAAACAGGATCTCTCCATATCTGGGTAAAAGAAATTCTGGAGATTTCCCGTTGCCATCTGGAGACACATGTCTGCTGATCCAAGCAGAGGGTTACAGATCCGAGCAAAAACACATCTGGACTCAATCGTCCTTATCTCAGCGAGTGGCTGTTGATGTAGCATCAAAAGAAAATCTGACAGGCAGCGGTTGTCACTTAAGAAACGTCAAAATAATCAGCTGGATCGACCTTAATGAGAAACTGATGGACTTCAAGGCAGAAGGGGAGTTTATCTTAACCCTACACTAAAAAGAAATGGCCCACTTTGCACGTAGAGGACATCAAAGAGAAAAACGTTTCCAGCATGATGTTGGAAGTACAAGATTTTAAGATAAATGCATTTTTAACATAGATTTCCAGGTGCTCAGCTGGTTGGATTTGACTTAAGCTGTCGGCCAGATGTGCTTAACCAAATGTGGCTGTATCACCAGCTACCTTGTGGTACACATACCTCTTGGGAAACACTCCAGGCAGTGGTGGAAAGTAATTAAGTGCATTTACTTACATGCTTTTTTACAGTATTTCCCGTTATGCTACTTTATACTTTGACTAGATCACATTTCATAAGGAAATATTGTAGTTATAGCTTACACAATAACTGTTGTTGGACCCTGCAGCATGATAACACAAATTCTTCTCAAGATTTACTTACTAGCTTTTTTGGTATTTGCTCAGTTGTCTTAAGAGATAGCTCGTTTAAATCAACTGACCTTAGATCCAGCTGTAAAAAGGAGTGCAACTGCAGTAACAAGTACAATAGTTCCCTTTGAGTAGAAGTAGAAAGAAGAATGAGATGGAAAAACTCGGGCAAAGTAAGAGAACCTCACATTTTAATTGCAGAACTTGATTCCACTATACTGGGTCCCATGGTGCCATAAACCAATTTACCACTTCGTTAGCATCACTGCAGCCACAGAAAACATCAGATAAGTAAAGTTTCAGTAAAGCAGAGTCAGGGATTTTATCCGACCTGGGTGACCCGGTCGAAACTGAACTCAGAACAATATTGCATGGCGCTCATGTCAGTGCTAACTGGGTCAGAGACGCCAAGAAAGAAAGGCAACGTGAGATTCAGCCACTCAGGAGCAGGATTCTCAGTTTTTTCCGTTGGCACCGGGCAAAAGGAACAACTGACTCAGTCCCTCAAAATTTAATTCAGCCGTACTCATAACCTCTCTCCCTACTTTCCTTTTAACGCTATTCCTTCTAATGTCTTTACCTCTCCTTCCCTAATAAAGCTCTGGACTTTAGATCATCTTCTTCTGTCCTTCATTCCTGCAGAGATTTGAAAGACAGAATATATAGCCAAGCAAAACGCTCATAGAGGTAACTTGAATCGAAATGCGTTTTTATACTAGCCACATATACACAGAAAGGTTAAGGTTGTTAAACAGACACCTTACTGAAGTACTGAGTGCTTAGTTCATGGCTTCTTTTAGCATACATTGCATACATTTAGACAAAGCCCCACATGATAGACGTAATGACACCTTCACTTCCTCAGAAAATGTCCTCATTCCGTTGTTTTTTTACCACAGGAGTTATTAATATACAGGGGATTTTTTATATATTGTTTATTCCTCCTTGTGGTTGGGGTTTTTTGTACAGAGCTTCCGAAAAAACAAATTGCATCTCAGTCTCATGTGAATCTGAGTAAGTGTGAGTGACAATAAGCGGCACCCACATGTCCTGTGATTGGCTGATGGGTGACGGGGCGTTGAGAAATACATGCAGCAAAGTCACCTTTTGTAGTTTTCCGTATTCTTAGGGTTGACTTTTTTTCTGCTGTGAATTATAAAGTTGCTTGGTGTGTCCAATATTCCGAAATATTTCACATTAGCAAGAAACTTAAAGGGGACAATTTCTTAGTCAGTTTTATGTTGTAGTGTACTCGCAAACTTAAGATGCTCTGCGATTAATCACTTGGCCGATAAAAAGCATATTCATTTTTAGTTTAATAGAATTGAAGACAAGGAAACCCAGCGTATCTTCACGTTTAAAGAGTGGCAATTGCGTTTTCCATTTTTGCTTAAAAAATTATTATAGATTTTTCTAAATGTGAAAAATCTCCAGCTCTACATGATATAATAGGGTCACAGTCAGGTCAAAGAATCCATGCATACATCCCACAACTCCACCAAAATAATCTGTTCTTCCACCAGTTTCACATCACTCTGGTCGTGTTTCAGTGTCTGTGCATTATACATTTAGACCTTGCGTCACTGCGCACACACACACTGCACACTCAGGAGTGTGTTTACCAAACCCGCAGCCAGCCCTTTGACCACACATGGCCGTGTAGCGAGCTACCTAGCCACCCCAAGGCCAACAATACCAGCCATGTACAAGTCTCAATAAATAGAAGCTTTGATGGTGGCTGCTGGGAGTTCCAGGGAGGAGGGGTGCATGCTGGGATACCTGGCGTCTCGACCGGAGGTGGTGGGTAGAGTAGTTCGGGACTAGAGAGGTAGAGAAGTGGAGGTCTTGACGGTGTGGGGGAGTGTTTTTATAGAAGCAGACGCGTCTCCACGGTGGAGCCACAGGACACACTGGCAGCAGTCAGGGGAGAGGCACAGAATGTAAATTTGGTTGGTGTTACAGGCAGATTGACATATAAAGTCAGGGGGTAAATTAGATTAACTGGATGCTTAAAAAAAAAAGTTGATAAAATCGTGAGATGCAGAAATGGGGAAAAAGGGGGTTGCCTCTCTCCAGGTAGTCATAAGTGACCCTTGTTCTCCGGCCTCTTCGCCCAGCACATGTAACAGTAGCTGTGTGTGCCCAGGCAGTATACAGCCAGGTTAGCCCATGCAGTTGCTACATTTCATCCTTCCCTCCTCTTGCTTTCCCGTTCACTTGTCTAAAGAAAGGTTAAAGAGAAAAACAGCCCAAATGGTGAAAGAAGAGAGATATCTGTGGTTTAGATGACGCTAACGAAGGAATTCAGGGTAATTCCTCCGACTTAATCTGTGGTGGAGATGAAGATGTGCGCTTAACTCTGTGTGTGGGGATACATAAGTGGAAACAAACTGTTCAAGACACATTTAAGCTTCTAAAACTCCATAAAAGCGGGCCAGGAGATGAGAAAATCAATACCATCTTTTAGTATTGGTTAAATAGGGAGCCAAAGCCAACAGACAGTTAGGTTAGCTTAGCTTAGCTTTGCACAAAGAGTGGACACAAGGGGGAACAGCTTGCCTTTTTCTAATAATTAAGAAATAACAGCCATACTCTTATGAATGAAAAGTAAAAGGTATAACCATCCATAAAAACCTTTAGCATTTCAGAAGCAAAATACTTACCTGGTCTGGTTTGACTAGTAGCTTAGGTTGGCTAATGTTAGCAAATGTACAACACAGTCTCACGGCATTTCGTGATATAGTCACAAAATTAATCCATTGATTCTTGGTTCACCAACACGATTTTCACATTTCTTTCGTGTCACAGAGAACGATTTTAAAAGCAATGTAAATAATAACAAATTTGAAGGAAAAAGATTAAAAAACATACAGATTTCAGTATTCTGACACAGAACGATTTTAGAAGCAATGTATTTCTATTGGTAGTATGTTTCGTGCCTGCAAGAAATAATAACAAATTAGAAGGAAAAAAAGATGACAAAGAATACAGATTTCAGTATTCTGAGGCTCTGAGCCCTATTTATTTTCCTCACGGACGGCAAAACTACTCCGACATTATACAATTTAAAATAAAAGGGTTAGGGTTAGGGTAAGATATTGAGTAAGAAAATGTTTTTATGAACCACACAGACCATCACACACATTCAATGTCTGTTTTTACTTTTGCTCTAGTCTTAATGCTAAGATAAACTTCATATATTTAACAGAAACAAGTGAATGAACAACATTACTTTTCTTAGCTAACTCTCAGCAAGGAAAGCTATTCCTTTGAGTCTTAGACCACCAGCAGTAGGCAGTGGAAAGAAAAGGCGTTTTGTTCACGTGTAAAGATAAATAGTTGTGGTTTTGGTTGACATGAAGACAGAAAGAGAAAGAGTAGGAGGAGGACAGACAGAGACAGTGCAGGGAGATCTTAAACTCAAGCTTTGAAGAACCTAAATGTTGCAGAAATTGTTGCTTTTTCCAGCGTTTGCGAGCAGCAGTTGATTTTGGCAGCGATCGTCTAGACAGACTTGTGGGTCATGGTGACTAAAATGACATCAGTGTTTTCAGATTTAGTGTTTTATTTGGCTTTCAGTTCCTCTCTCGTCCTTTCTTATGACCCCACAACAAAGTTTCCCCTAACTAGCTCAGAATAAATCATGGGTGCAAGCGAGGTTGGGTTTTAAGAGTTCATAAAAGGGATCATGTCAAAGTCACATGAAGAAACAACAATACATTTAACATGCCGAATTACCTCAGTGTGTGTTGGCTGCTGTGGGGGAGAGTATGTAGCTTAACAAGTCACACAAACACCCGCACAAACACACGCTGTGTCTCCCTTATTCAGATACAATCTGTGTGATGCATGTGAGCTCAGGGACGCAGGTCCAAACAAGCTCTGAAAGGTGACTGGAAGTAGAAAAACACCCACAGGTTCACACAAGTGGACCAAACCCTTATTTTCTGTCGGCTAAGGTGTTTTCTTGTGGTTTTTCCCGATGTTTCTGGCATGTCTGACTAAGAGCAGAGAAACTTAGAGGCAAATATGTATGGGGTTGCAAAACTGCTAATTACTGCTTAGTAGAAAGTAAAAGCCTAAAAAATAATTGTATATTAGCACCCACATGATATTTCCATTAGTTTTAGGGTTGTCTTTAACATTTTGGATTTTATGGAAGAGCCCAATACCAGCCAAGATTGTTAAGGTTAGCTGTTGATAACTTGAGGCAGCGTCACTCCTTTTCTACATCAACAAAGTGTGATATCTGGCTGATTATCAAATAGCTATTTTCCCGTTGAGAATGCAGAAAGTTTTCAGAAGAATATCATAAAATCCTATAATAAGTCATAAAGATATGTGCTCTGGTAGACTTAATTGTATGTTCTCTCCCCCTCTCTTGTAGGGCTGGCTGCAGCAGTATGGCTACCTGCCTCCTGGGGATGTCAAAGCCCAGGCCCTCCGCTCACCAAAGTCCATCGTAACAGCGATATCAGCCATGCAGAGGTTTTACGGATTGACTGTCACTGGATCCGTAGACTCCAACACGTTAGAGTGAGTTGAAAGCAACGTTATATAACTTATTGGTGTCCAATTCTTGAGGTTTTAAAGCCGTCAGATCATTTGATGATTTGGGATTGAAGGGGGATTTAGACTGTCGAAGAAAACAAGGTCACTTTTTGCAAATTAAGTGTCCTTCAGTGGGTATTTAGTTATGATTGGGAATTTTATTTTTTGCTTCTGCCAGGGCGATGAGCCGGCCGCGGTGTGGCGTCTCAGACAAGTTTGGCCCGGAGCTGAAAACCAGTCTGAGGAGGAAGAGATACGCTGTGCAGGGTCAGAAGTGGGAGAAGTCTGAGGTCACCTTCAGGTAACCTGCTCAAGACCTTGACTTTTTATTTATTTTGAGCTCTTAAATTTAAGAGTTTAAATTAAACACAATTTAAACCAGAAATACACACTAAGTATAACTTTAACAGTCCACACAGAATTAAAAAAACACAGAAAATGTCTGTATTTAAACTTTCTTTATGATTTAAGTGTAACTTCTCAATAATAGTGAAGTAATCTAATTTTTTGCATTATGTATTCAATATAGAGACCCTTGTTTCGAAACCTGTTTTAAAAACGTTTTCTCTTAACTTTCTTACTTGTATAATGTTGAGTCGACTCCATCAATCCCAACCCGTTAACTTTCTCTCCATCTTCTCACAGCATAGAGAACTACACCCCAAAGATCGGAGAACAGGCCACGTATGAAGCCATCCGAAGAGCCTTCAAAGTCTGGGAGAGTGCGATCCCGCTCACCTTCAGAGAGATCCCCTTCAGCCACATCAGAGGCAAGGTGGACAAGTACGCAGACATCATGCTCTCCTTCTCAGAGGGTTTCCATGGCGACAGCACGCCTTTCGATGGCGAAGGCGGCTTCCTGGCTCACGCTTACTTCCCCGGGAACAGCATGGGGGGAGACACGCACTTTGACCTCGCTGAGCCCTGGACCACCGGGGACACAGACCAGGGGGGTAAGAGAGAGAGATTCAAGTTCAATAAACACAATAAAACAGATAATAAAATACAAAATAAAAATAGAATAATAGAAATAGTGCAGAATAGTATATATACAAGTAATTGGAATATTGATATATATACACTGAAAAAAAATATAAACGCAACACTTTTGTTTTTGCTCCCATTTTTCATGAGATGAACTCAAAGATCTAAAACATTTTCTATATACACAAAATAACCATTTCTCTCAAATATTGTTCACAAATCTGAAAAAATCTGTGATAGTGAGCACTTCTCCTTTGCCGAGATAATCCATCCCACCTCACAGGTGTGGCATATCAAGATGCTGATTAGACAGCATGATTATTGCACAGGTGTGCCTTTGTAAAGGCAAAACTGAAATTGGTGACTTGTTTTTATATTTGCGTTGTGAAAACAAAACGAGGGAAAAAAGTACTCCTACTTGAGTTCTAGATTTTGTAAAAGATGATTGTGGTTTTATTGGTAAGAGAGTTGTAACAGTGTTTAGACTTTTAGACACTATCACTCGTGAAAGGAAACGGCTCTATTAGGTAAGGGTGGAGTGTCCTACACCGTATAGGTGTCTAGTCTAATCTGTCGGCTTACCTAATACGTGTCCACAACGAATCCCGACCGGTTTATTTTCCGGTGAGACCCTTTGCCACCAGTAAAAACGGCAAATAACCCCCCAGACCCCCCAGGCTTTTGGTCCCAGCATAAGAGACCACACTCCCAATCCTAATCCAATCCTAATCCAAATCCCATTAACAACACTTAAGCCTCACGGCCACCACCACCCATTACCAACCCGTCCGACATACATACTGCTAACCTTTGTGTCCGTTGAGCTAAGTTGTTGTAATGGGATTGGGATTGGGAATTAGGATTTGGTGGAGGTGTGGTCTTATGACTGACCAAAAAGCCTGGGGGGGTTCTGGGGGGGTTATTTCGTTATTACGTACAAAGTCTCACCGGAAAATAACA